CTTTCTTTCCAGCGGCCTCCTCCACCCCCTGACGGGGCGAGGGGCTGTGAAAGCTCTGCTGCACTTTTGAACTTGCTGTCGGCGCGCTCAGTGGCTGCACAGGGCAGCGGCGACGGAGGGGCCGAGCCCAGCAGGGACCCGGTGCAATTGCCCAGAAGTTATTAATAGGCTGTAGAAGAATGTGATGGGCTGGGGAATGGGTGAGGTGGGGGGAGAGCAAGAGGGAGCGAAACGGGGAGGGTCAGCTAAAGGGAAAAGAAGTGATGAAGGGAGAGGCAGAAGCAATGGCATGCAGGAGAGACAAAGAGGCAAACAGGAGGGAGATGGGCACTGGGGCAGGCAAGGTCACACAAAGGCTGGAGAGTCCCCCTTGCCCTGCACCTTGTGCAGGTGTCATTTCATGGATGGCTGTGCTGGCAGAGAGGTGTCTGACTTCGGTGTCGGGGGATGGAGAGGACAGGGGGACCAGGCCTGGGGGTTCAGTCCTCATGCAAAGCATCCCTTTCCCAGGATGAAATATTGCTCAGGGTTCATGAGCCAAATTTGCCATCTAGTGGCCCTGGGGACCATTGCAAGAAGCACCCACGAGGCAGCCACAGCCACGGGAGGGCCACGGCACAAGCGCTGCTGCATCACCTTCTGCCTCAGAGGTAAAACCCAGAGTGCTCCTAGTTTTGCTTTACTCACGGGGCCCAAAAAAGCCAGTGGACCCTGGAGTGACAGTAACTGTTCTACCTGTGTTGTAGGGAGCCAACCTCAGCCACTTTGCCAGCCTCAGTGCTCTGCAGAGACAGCCCTGGCAGGTTGTGTGAGGACCTAGACCCATGACGTGGCTCAGCTCATTGCCCTAAGCATCAAGGCTTGGAAAGCAAGAGTGTGTCCTGTGGCTGTGAGACTAACTTCTTCACTGGTCCACTGTGGAGAGAGCCTGCTCCATGACAAAGCAGTGGTCTTTGAGGCTCTACATCTTCTCTTTGTTATTGCAAAGGTACTGACAAGTTTATCTAATGTTATAAAATCATAGATACATAGAATACCCCGAGCTCCATGCCATTCCCTTGGGTCCTGTCAGTGGTCCCAGAGAGCAGAGCTCAGGAGCTGCAGTCTGCACTGGGTCTCCTCTGCTCCAGCTGAACAAGCTAAGTGCCTTCAGCCACCTCTCAGACCCTTCCCCTCTAGGCCCTTTCCCAGCTCCATGTCCCTCCTTTGGACACACAGTGACTCTAACCATCCTGGCTCCTCACCTCACCATGCTCCTAGCCAGCAATTTCAGCAAGCAGAGGAGTCTCCAAATTAGATTTGGCCATTGGAGACTGCCAGAGCTGGGAAGGAACAAGGACACTGAGGACTGAGGAAGGGGTAGAGCACCCTGGGACTTTGGCCAGCACAGTCTCTTTTGGTCTGTCACCCAGGAGGATTTATGCTTATAAACAGCATTCCCTAGGCCAGAGAGATCTTTGGCCACCCTGTCTGTGGGGAGTGACTGGCAGGTAATGGGCAATGTAGTGCAGTCAGGGGAAAGAAAGCATCTCAGTGTAAGTCAGTGTCCATAGCTTTAATGCACAGCTCTCCTGAGCAAGATCACATATATCAATAAATAGGGTTAATCATAATAATTAGAGCAGCCCCAACAAACCCAGCTGGCACCAGTTTGGCTTCAGTGTTCTCTGTTGTGCCCTTGTCTGCAAGAGGTGCCAGTGCTTGACTAATGCAGAGGACACAGAAGAAGCACCATCTCCCTCCCCTCCTCAGTGGGGATCTGCTGGAGGAGATCTCCGGTTCCTCGGATGCCAGTCTGGGCAGAGTCTTCCAAGGCACCTGTGGGCTCCCACCCTGCTTCATGCCCAGCATCACGAGGCCTCAGCTGCTCCCTGCCCCATCCACTACCACATTGCCCTTGTCCAAGGAACAGGCTCACAGCTGAGTTGCTCCCCATGCAGATGCACTCGTGTGCATCACGCACCCCATGCCTGAGGGATGCCTGAGGGCAACCAGCTCTAGCACTGCTTGTGGGGTTCCTCCAGGGCAACGTAGGGCACCACAACAGGCCACGAGTCGCTGGGCCAGTATTCCAGCTTTGGCTTGAATGATGGCATCTCGTAGTTGACGTCAAAGTAGATGACCAGTGGGCAGCAGTACAGAAGGGACATGGCTATCAGTACGTGCCTGGCAAGGAAACCAAAGAGATGTGTTGGACAGGGATAACTTCATCTACTCTGTGTAGCAGTTGTGAGGCTGGAGGCAAGGGGTATGGTAATGGCAGGAAAATGCCTCAGTCCTGTGATGCACCAGGGCTGCAGGGAGTGTGGGTCTTGCAGGGTTTGTGCCTATGGGTGTCTGATGCAGCCATCCCAGTGCTTTGTGATGATGAATTTGAGTGTGCAACACTCACAGCCACACTTGGGCAGGCACTGAATTGTCTTGTCCAAGCAAATAGTTGCCTTTCAGTTTGGCTGTTAAAATACCTCCAAGAATGTTGTATTTCATGCAGTGCCCTGGGAGCAGCTGCAGCCCTTTGAGAGCCACCTGCCCACCTGTGGGACTTCTGGGACAAGTTCACTTGGCTGGTGCAGAGGAGGAAAGGGATATTGGTTGGTTATGGCCTAATCCTGGGGCTGAGGCCACGGTGAGAAACAGCATCAATAGCGATGGGAAGGGGGGAGAACGTTGGGCAGAGATGCATTTGGGAGAGCTCTCTGGTTGAGTGTCTCATCCCTGCTGCCATTTCTCCATAGCTGGGGCACTTCAGCCCCTGAAATGTTGGGGCTGGGGTTGCTGGAGCCCTTACCAGAAGCTGTGCAAGTAGGGGAAGTTGATGGCTTGCCAGAACCAACAGAACCACTTGTCACTTATCCAGCTGGTGATAGCCAGTACCCACCACATCACCATGACTGCAGCCATCCGGTGAACCCGTTTGTCATTGCACCTGGAAGACACAGCAAGGGACAGGATATGAGTGTCATGCTGGGTGGAGAGTGAGTTTTAAAGAGATCTGGTTCCTGTCTGCAAATGCAACAGGGCAAACCCCAGCAAGTTTCTTCTGGAGAGTATTCCTCAGACCACAAGAACTAGAGAAATGTGGCTCCAGAGGGAGGGTTTTGGACTTTCTTATAGTGAG